CTGGCCCCAGTTAAATTATAGATGGCATAAATAACTGTTAAAAGTGGACGAGGAGGTGAACATGGGCTCCAACTATCCCTGTGGGGCTTGGGGAACATGGTCTTACAATACAGCCCTTTGAGCCTTCTCTACATGGATGGGGCAAATGCTCCCTGCTTGCAGATACTTGAGTAATACAGACTAGGCTTGGTCTTTTGCTGAGATGTAGTCTCTGTGTCAGCAGTGAGCTGTTTCTAGGGATGTCCCAAGCGATATTCCCACCAAGAGCCTCCTCCTCAAGAATGCCTGGTCCTTTGGAAAGTCCTAGTCATCATCTCAGTGGTTATCCCCATTCCCACTTCCTCTACCACTCCCAACAAACAGGTCTGGACCCTTTGTCTCCTTTGCCACCTTGCTTCAAATCAACAGAGTTAACTCTGTTTGATTTTCATGATCTTCTCACTTCTCATCACTATCTGATATTATCTTGATATTACTATGTCTTTTTTTTTGGTATTTGTTGTTTATCTGCCCTGTTTGATGCTGTTTATGTATTTAATTTGCTTATTGTGCATCTGCCCACTTGCCTATAGAGTGTAAGTTTCTTTTCTGCAGGGATCATGTCTGTCTTGTTTATTGGCCTATCTCAGAACTTTGCACACTCTGAAAGTAGGAGCAGAAGAGATGCCATTTAGAGACACCTGACATACAGTAATCATTTTAATTTGTTGGATTCCTCCACTCTTTCCCACAGGAATGCTTCCCTGAGTAAACAAAGGGTAAAGGGCCATGAGCCCTTTATAATTCTTGGAAACTGAAACATGCATTAAGAGTTTCATCCCAGGAAATGCCGAGCCAGCTTTCCCATGACAACTGTGCATTTGGTGTTTCTTGTTTTTTCTTCTGAATCATCAACCGGATTTTTAAACATTTTTTTCCTGTTGCCGTAGAGTCTGTTCCGACCCATGGGGAACAGTTCCATAGGGTTTTCTTGGCTGTAATCTTTATGGAAGCAGATTTCCAGGCCTTTCTTCCATGGTGCCAATGGGTGGGTTTGAGTCTTCAACTTTAGGTTAGTAGTCGAGTGCAAACTATCTGTACCACCTAGGGACCTTTTAAGCATTACACTTCCTTTACATAGCCCTTTCCTACAAGGCCACACTCCTTGCGAAAGTAATTATTAACATCTTGGCTCTTTCACACATGTCTCTCCACTGTGGAACACACCAAAAAACACTGATCGTCAGTGCATAAAGCTAGCTGCTGAAAACTTGCCATATCTCCATTTATTACAGTTTTCAGACTATCTAGAATGTTTAGTGTAATGGAGTCTTCTTTGTCCACTTTCTCTGTACAAGAAAGTTGCCCATCACTTGATCAGCTACACTACAAGTATACTTAGAATCATGCATCTATTCAAAGACCAGGACCAGAAGAGGAGAGATGTGAGCTGTGCTGTGCCAGATTCTTGCTATAAAGGATGACCTTGAAAAATTCTGCAGAGTGGCCTCTTCAGTCCTGGGCAGCTCACCTCAGCTCTGCCTGCTCACAAAGTAAGCCTTCATGCTATGAATCTCAGTTCTTTTCAAGCATTGTTGCTGTAGTGAAGAGGCAATGCTTTCACTTCTGCTGTAGCCTGATCTTAAATAAAGAAATGTTGGAAGCTGGGACTCTAACTGGTATAGCATATTCTGAGGGCAGAAACCAATTTCCATGGAACTGAAATACCGGCCTCATTTAGGGCTACCGAATGACATATGGTTCCACAAGTGTTCAGAAGGCTTCATTTACTTTACTAACGTAAACTGGTTAATTTTCACTTTCCTTCTGTCAGGTAAAACAACTATAATCAAGGCTTGAATAGCAGTTGCTTGTATGACAAGAAACAGAACCAAGAAAAAGGCTGCAAAACAGAACTTGAAATGGACGTTCAGACACTTGCTTTTTGAAGCAGTTGCAGAGTGGGCTCTGTCTCTGGCCAGACCCCAGATGCTGGGCAACTTGTTTCCTCTCACACACACACTTCCATAGTTTCAGGCCTTGCACGTAGCTCGAGACCACATTCTCACAAACATGGACCATCTCACAAACAAGCAATGAAAGGACATCTTAACGGGGGAAACGAGTCACCTTCGGAGCTAGGATGAGGATGGGTACATCTTGACAAAAGTCTGTAACAGGAAAGAGCTCAGTTAGCACTGCCTTAGCTCACCCACCCACAGTCACCCTGGGGTGACCTGATGGCCCACAGCCCACTAACTGCACACTCCTCAGCTCTATGAATGAGGTCTACCCACCCCACCAACCAAGCACTTGCCCTATTTAAATCATCTCTTACCCTACACCAGGAGCCCTGGTGGCACAGTGGTTAAGAGCTTGGCTACTAACCAAAAGGTCGGCAGTTCAAATCCACCAGCCACTCCTTGGAAACTGCTGTGAAGCAGTTCTACTCTGCCCTATAAGGTTGCTATGTGTCAGAATTGACTCAACGGCAACAGGTTTGGTTTGGTGTTTTTTTTTTTTTTTTTGGTTAACCCTCCACCAAGGAGCCTTAGTAGCACAAAGTTTAAGCGCTTGGCTGCTAACTGGAAAGTTGGCAGTTGGAACCCAGCCAGCAGCTTTGTGGAAAAGACCTAGCGATTTGCTCCCTAAAACATTACAGCCTAAGAAGCTCTACGGGGCAGTCCTACTAGGTCACATGGGATCACTATGAGCCCAGATCTCCACAAGGGCACCTAATAATAGCAACAGGCCTCTGCCACCACCACCCACTTCTCTCCTCCACCTTCCATTCCTCTCCATAGAAATAATTAACTAGTCGACTACTTATTAATCCTTCCACTAATGAAGATTTCAGGCTCACTCTAAGGCCTTATGCTGAAATCTTATGGATTTGTGATCCTCACAGGGGTCACAAATACAATGGTCAATGTTCAACCATTTCAGGAGGTAGCATATGATCAGGAACCGATGGTACTGAAGACAGAGGTTCAAGCTACACTGAAGGCGTTAGCAAAAAACAAGGCTCCAGGAATTGATAGAATACCAATTGAGATGTTTCAACAAATGGATGCAGCTCTGGAAGTGCTCACTTGTCTATGCCAAGAAATTTGGAAGACAGCTACCTGGCCAACTGACTGGAAGAGATCCATATTTATGCCTATTCCAAAGGGAGGTGATCCAACCTAATACAGAAATTATTGAACAATATCATTAATATCACACACAAGTAAAATTTTGCTGAAGATCATTCAAAAGCAGCGGCAGCAGTACATCGACGGGGAACTGCCAGAAATTCAAGCCGGATTCAGAAGAGGATATGGAACCAGGGATATCATCGCTGATGTCAGATAGATCCTGGCTGAAAGCAGAGAATACCAGAAAGATGTTTACCTGTGTTTTATTGACTATGCAAAGGCATGCAACTGTGGATCATAACAAATTATGGATAACATTGCAAAGAATGGGAATTCCAGAACACTTAATTGTGTTAGTGAGGAACCTATACATAGATCAAGAGGCAGTCGTTCGAACAGAACAAGAGGATATTGCGTGGTTTAAAGTTAGGAAAGGTGTCCATCAGTATTGTATCCTTTCACCATACCTATTCAATTTGTATGCTGAGCAAATAACCTGAGAAGCTCAACTATGTGAAGAAGAATGGGGCATCAGGATTGGAGGAAAGCTTATTAACAACCTAAGTTATGCTGATGACACAAGGCTTGCCTGCTGAAAGTGAAGAGGACTTGAAGTACTTACTGATGAAAATCAAAGACTAAAGCTTTCGGTATGGATTACACCTCAACATAAAACAAAAATCCTCACAACTGGACCAATAAGAAATATCATAATAAACAGAAAAGATTGAAGTTGTCAAGGATTTCATTTTACTTGGATCCACAATCAATGCCCATGGAAGCAGCAGTCAAGAAATCAAACGATGTATTGCATTGGGCAAATCTGCTGCAAAAGACCTTTTTACAGTGTTGAAAAGCAAAGATGTCAGCTTGAAGACTAAGGTGCCTCTGAGCCAAGCCATGGTGTTTTCAACCACCTCGTATGCATCTGAAAGCCGGACAATTAATATGGAAGACAAAAGAAGAATTGACGCCTTTGAATTATGGGTTGACGAAGAATATTGAATATACCATGCACTGCCAAAAGAACGAACAAATCTGTCTTGGAAGAAGTTCAGCCAGAATGCTCCTTAGAAGCAAGGACGGAGAAACCAAGTCTCACATGCTTTGGACATGTTATCAGGAGGGATCAGACCCTGGAGAACGACATCAAGCTGGGTAAAGTAGAGGGTGAGCGAAAAAGAGAAGCCCCCAAAGAGATGGACTGACACAGTGGCTGCAACAATGGGCTCAAGCATAACAAGGATTGTGAGGATGGCGCAGGACCGGGTAGTATTTCATTCTTTTGTACATAGGGTAGCTATGAGTCGGAACCGACTAAATGGCACCTAACAACAAACAACACGGAAAAAAAATTGAAACCAACTAGCAAAACTTTCCTGAAGGATAGATACCTAAGAACTAGAAATTATTTTGGAGGGCCAGGATTCCACACCAGGAATACCTCTTTCTCCTTACTCCCAGCTCTCTATCATGAAAGATCCTCTAACCTTAGCAGTAAATGATAAATTGTGTGACTATTAGTTTGTTCACGGACGCTCCTTGGGGACGCGAGGGTAACCGTGTGTGCATGTCTGTGTACACACAAGGTCGGAAGAAGCAAACGGTAGGTAGCAGAATCCGAGTAACCCCTAGTGTATTCCCTTGGCCGCTTGGTCTCTGGTGGTTGTGGCCCCGGGGCGGCGCGCGCAGGGAAGCGCCGCGCTCTGGCGGCAGTGCGGCACCGAGAAGGGTGACTGCGAGCCCCCGGCGCGCGCCAGTCCCCACCTCCGCATCCCGCGCCCGCCCGCGCAGCGTGACTGGTTGCCGCCGCACACTCAGCTCCAAGAAGCGCGGAGCGCGCGTCGGTGAGGGGAGACGCGGGCTGGCTGCAGCCTCGCGTCCGCCCCGCTGTCCTCCCTCCTCCCCGCCCTCAGCCCCTCCCCTGGCGCCCGCGCTGCCTGGGAGCCGGGAAAGCCGCGGCCCCGCTGCTTGGAGCTCGCAGCTCGGACCTGCACCCAGGAGGGGGCGGTAGGAGCGCGGGGACCACAGCCCCTGTGGTGAGGCGCCGGGGGCCTTATTTTTCGCACAGACGGAGAAGGCTGAGCGAGACTGCGCGTGAGTGGGAGGGCTGCAAGCGTGCTCAGCGCGGACCCCGCCAGCCCCGACCCAGGTCGCCGCAGACCGGGAGCACCCCACCTCACGCCCCAAAGCACGCGCGGCACAGCTATGAACACCAGCGATGCCAAAGAGTATCTGACCCGGAGGGAAATCCCTCAGCTTTTCGAGGTAGGGGGCTGAGGGCTGGGAGAGGGTCGGGAGACAGTCGGAAGAGTCCAGGGAGGGTGTCTCTGGGATTGGGATGAGGAGCCGCGCCCGGTCTCACCTTCCTCAAGCGGGGCATGGAAGTGAAGGGGCTTGTAGGAGCTCACTCGCCTGCTCACCCGGGGGTGGCCGCCTTTCCCACGGGTTGCTAGGGTCCTTGTCTAATGGCTAGATTCAGAAGCCCGCATCTCGCAGATCAAGTTTCAGTGTTGGAGCCGGGTTCTGGAAGGAGGCTGCCCCTAGCGCACCCCTCGAATGTGGACACACAGGGTAGGCTGCAGACAGCGGCCCGGTGGTGCTCTCTGAGGGCGAGGGCCAGACCAGGTGGGTACGCTGGCACAAGGCAGCGAGCAAAGACTCGAAACTGAGGGGTCGAGAGCCCTGGTCCCTCCACCCGCTGAGGCTCGGGACCCTGGCGGTGAAGAGGAAAGTGTGGACGAAAGCACCCCTCCGCGGGGATAGCATGGAGGAAGGAGATGGAGATGCAAAAAACAAATCCGAACCCCTCAAGTGCAGCGCTATCTCTCGGGTGACAGGCACCTAACGCCGCTCTGCGCTTTCGGTGAATGAACTCCTGAGCACGTTTTTTCCGTTGCCTTAGAAGGGATGGTTCTCCCTCCATGCCTCCCCGACGCGTCTGTCGCCTACCCTCTCCAGCCCACCTAGAGATAGGGGTCGGGGAGGGGCGAGGCAGGCGTAACTCCTGTTGCTCAGCCTTCAGACCGCATCGCAGCATCTTCTGCACTGGGGACCCGAGAATGGGGGAAAGGTGGGAGGACACTGAGAATGTGAGAAAGGAGGCTTAAGGAATGAGCTGAAGAAACCTTGGGTTAGTTCTTAAGCCACAGCTTCCATCGCAGATCGTTTTGCTTCCTTTCCTCCTCTCCATATTTGAATTTTAAAACATTCCTGAATCCTATGTGCTTTTGCTTATGTTAAAAAAAAAAAAAAAAAGGGAAGCGAGCCAAGCTTCAGGGAGAGTCTGAAAGGGAAAATTCACTCACTGCAAACTTAGCCCCACATTTCCGAAAGATGATTGCTTGATGTAGTAAACCAAAGGACATGAGTAGTTCTTTTTCATGTTTTGGGTTTTTTTTTTTTTTTTTTTAAGGAATTTAAAAACACCATTTGGGAAAATAATTTTGCCCCGGTCTTCCCAAACTGTCTTTAAAACGGGTCACCATAATTACCGACCTTCATTTGCCTCACCTGTCTAAGCCACCGTTTTCAGGTCCATCTAATCCAAAATAAACCACCACTGAGCTCACGCCTCGTATGTGAAGCCCAAATCTAGCGAGTGATTACCCATGCATGAAAATAGGTAGTGTTGGGAAAGGACAGGTCTTGGGAGTGTGCAGGATTCTTGTTAAGAGTTTTTCTTTTTTATATATATTTTGAAAATGCAGATATGGAGATGAAGAACTGAAAGTTTTTGTCACAAATATTAACTACTGAGATCATTTCATTCAGCAGGGTCACCTGATTGCAAAGTACTGCTGAAGAGTACATCTCTTTTCTTTATAAATACTGTTTTTCTTCCTTGGTGGAAGAGAACCACACAGAATGTGTGGTGGCTTGTGCATGAAATTCTACACTGTGTATGCAGATAATTGATGGCAGGTGTTTTTGTTCAGGTTTTATGCTTTTTGTTGACTTTTCTGCATATGAATGGTATGTTTTAAAATAGTGCACACCCGGAAAAGAAAGCCGACCGGCTTAGACAAAATTCAGAATATTCAATCCTTGACAATGGGAAGATGAAGGGTGCCTGCTGGTGGCACCCAAAGGCTCTATCCTTTTAGTAAGATGCACCTGTGCTGTGCACAGTGCAACAAAGAATCAACACCTGGCAACTCTCCATGTGATGAGTGTAGACAGCAAAACCAAATGCTTTAGGTTTCCAAACTGGATTTTCTCCCTCAAAACCACAGTATTCTCAGTATACAAAATTTAACAATTAGGTAACTATCAAACCCAAAATATTGGCCCCTCAACTGTGGCATTTAGACTCCATTACAGATCACGTGACTGATTATTAAATCTACAAGTTGTCAAACAACTAAATATATCTAATCGACCTTTTCTGATTTCTTCATGATTTGAGACATCCCATAGGCTAAATAGTATATCTCTAGTAGGTTGAAGTTTGAAACGTGTTTCCATTTTTGGACTAAATGTTAAAAATAAAACAGTTTCCCCTGATTTTGTGGTGAGTTCTCAATTGTAACTAACCTTATGTGCTATCTGTTGATCTTGCACTACTGTACCTTATGGCAGAAATTTGGCAGTTAATTTGAATACTATGGAAAGCCAAATTAGATTATCCAAGTCCTCAAAGGGCTAATTCAAGAGACTGAGTAATAATGTCTGCTGGTTCTCTTCCATCTCTGATAGTGGCTGACTGTTAGAGGAAAGGATTTAAATGAAGGAGTGGAATCCAGTCCTCTCCTTTTTAAAACCAATGCCCTTTGGGAGTCAGTTTTGTTTTGGGAGACCGGAAGTGTATATTTTCCACTCAACAAAAATTCATTGAATATGTTCACTATTTTAGGGTTCCTAGGTGGCCTGAGTGGTTTGTACTCAACTACTAACTTACATGTTGGCTGTTTGAATCCACCCAGCGGTACTGTGGAAGAAAGGCTTGGAGATCTGCTTCCATTAAGATTTTAGCCAAGAAAACCCTATGGAGTACAGTTCTACTCTGTAACACGTGGGGTTACCATGAGTCAGAATCGACTCAGTGACAATGGATTTGGTTTTTTGGTTGTTCACTATTTTAGGCAATGTTGTTGTTGTGTGCGGTTGAGTCAATTCCAACTCATAGCAACCCTATATGACAGAGTAGAACTGCCCCATAGGGTTTCCAAAGCTGTAATTTTTACAGGAGCAGACTGCCACATCTTTCTCCCACAGAGTGCCTGGTGGGTTAGAATTGCCAACCTTTTGGATAGCAGTCGGTTTAACCACCGTGCACTGGGGCACCGTAGATTATGTCAGCTTGTTAAGGATTGAATTGTGTTCCCCAAAAATATGTGTTGTAAATCCTAATCTCTATGCCTGTGGTTATTGTCCCACTTGGGAATGGGTCATCTTTGTTATGTTAATGAGGCAGGATTAGTGTAAGGTGTGTTTTGAGTCAAACTCTTACAAGATATAAAAATAGCAGATTAGGACAAGCAGAGATGGGAGAGGACAGATGCCATGCCACATGGAGATCACCATGGAACCAAGAAATAAAGACCTTCCTCCATAGCCGTACTTCTAGCCTCCGAAACTGTAAGAGAATAAATCTCTGTTATAGCCATCCACTTATGGTATTTCTTTTGTAGCAGCACTTGAGCTAAGACAATGGGGCACAGAGAATTTGGCATTTTCTTTTATCCCATATCATATTCTGACAAGATGTAGAGGGAGGAATATATGTGTTTGGAGATCAGAAACATCTGAACTAGAATCCTGAACCCATCAGTTTTTAGCTGGTTAACGTTGAGCACGTCACTAACATTTTTGAGCGATGATTTCCGGATCTGTAAAACGGGGGTAATAATGCCACAAAGTACTGAAAGTGGATTAGAGAAGATGAAGCATATAAAGTGCTTTAGTAGAGGTCCTGACACAAAGGAAGCACTGCCTCAATATTAGTTATTTCAGTATAGAAGGAATGAGAAGAGTTAAACTGCAGTGTGTGTGCATGTGTGTGCATGTGTGTGTGCGTCTGTGTCTGTGTGTAGCCCAGGATTTGACAAAGAAACTAGATGCAGATGCTCAGGTTAGTTTCTCCCACTCCCTCTGCAATTCATCTCATCTGACAGAGTCGCACGCTCTAACTCACACTATTTATGATTTCAGAAAACAGATACACCTAGTAAGAATTGCCTACGAAGTCTGAGCAAATCACACAAGAATAATTGGAAAATAAAATACTGTATTTAAGAAAGATATTAGCCTTTTAAAGAGTGTGTTTTGTGCATTAATAATGTATATTGGAGATACTCATTCTCTGTTTTCTTCCATGAAGTACTCTAAAGTATTTTACATACCTGTCTAGTTCCCAGGAGTAAGCATTTCCAAACTTGTGACATTTTTAGAAATGAATACGTGTGACACATTGAACACCAGGAACAGAAAAAGTAATAGCAAGATCATGCTTTTTGTTTTTGTTTTTGTTTTTGCTATTTAATCTTAAGGGATATTGTGGTGACTTAGTGCATATCAATTATCAATTTTTTTTTCTTCTAATCAGGAAACAGTTCAGTATATACCTACCATGTGCCAGAGAAAGTTTCAGGTGCTGGAGATAGAAAGATAAATAAGACCCACTCTGTGTTATTGAAGAGTTTATAGTTTAAAGAGGAAACTGACACAGAAGCAGATGGTTTCAGTATAAATGACAAGTATATAGTTTATGCTGAGCACCATGGGAACAGAAAAGAGAGAGCCAGCCTGGAGGCTCAGGGGAAACTTTCTGATGATGATAATAAGAATACTAGTAGTAATAACCACAACCCCCACCAACATTTACTGGGCATTTACTATGTGCCAGGCACTATTGCAGTGAAACCTATGAGAGCTGGAACTCGCCAGAACTGCCTTGTTTTTATGGATCTCAGAAGTTTTCTGCCTTTGACAGGGTGCAGTCTTACCACTTTTCTGTTGCTCTCTATCGGTAGAAGATATATGAGTTTTTCTCCTCTGACAGATTTCCACCTTATATAGGTTTTGACTTTTGCAGGTTTCACTATATAAGCACTGTACAAACATTAACATATTTAATCCCCAAAAAACCCTGTGAGATAGTTATTATTATCCCCATTTTACAGATGAAGAAACTGGGGCTTGGGTACTTTAGGAATGAGTTGTTGTTGTTAGGTACTGTCGAGTTGCTTCCAACTCATAGCAACCCTAAGAACAACAGAATGAAACACTGCCTGGTCCTGCGCCATCCTCACAATCGTTGTTATGCTTGAGCCCATTGTTGTAGCCACTGTGTCAATCCATCTCATTGGGGGTCTTCCTCTTTTTCACTGACCCTCTACTTTAACGAGCATGATGTCCTTCTCCAGGGACTGATCTCTCCTGACAACATGTCCAAAGTATGTAAGACGTAGTCTCATCATCCTTGGTTCTAAGGAGCATTCTGGTTGTACTTCTTCCAAGACATAGGAATGAGTAGGAGTGAGATAAATAATGACTGGGGGCATTTTCACAAGCTGCCCTTTATTTAACTTTGATATGTGCATTTTAAATTATATAATTGCCTACATTGCTTAAAAGGCCCCAAGCTGAAAACTAATTGATCAAGAATTTGAGGGGATATTTTACTTATTCAGTTTCAACTCTGATTGTTTATTAAAATACAAATGAAAAGAACACAAACAACCCAAATTCAAAGACAGGACATAACACTTTTAACCAAAGTGGTTTTAAAAGGTATTTTACTTGGGCATATTTTGTTGTGTTTCAGAGCCTTTTGAATGGACTGATGTGTTCTAAGCCCGAAGACCCAGTAGAGTACTTGGAAAGTTGTTTACAGAAAGTCAAGGAACTAGGCGGCTGTGACAAGGTGAAATGGGATACATTTGTCAGCCAGGAAAAGAAGACCTTACCTCCACTCAATGGAGGACAGTCAAGGAGATCCTTTCTAAGAAATGGTAATGTACATGTAAAATAATAGACAGTTTTAGAGTTATAGCAGTTCTCTGTAAAATATACCATAGGGATATATTATGATTTAATTCATTGGGTTTCCAAATACATAGATAGATATATGCCCCTGGAGCATAATTTATCTGTCTTTGCTACTAATTCTAATAACCTCCATGATAAGACAAGCAAAATTACATACCCTTGTCCAGCAATTCACCAAAGACGTAATGAAATTTTATGTTAGTGACTTTATTATTTTGCAAAATGAACTAGCAAACTGTAAATTTTTCTTAAAATAGCAAATAAGACCTTTCTAGATAAATGAATAGGATACAGATAAAATTGGTAGTTATTACATAATAATTCAAACATTTTCATTAGTTGGAAAGAGATTTGCCTTATTAACATGTTTCCAAATTCAAAGTTCATAGTAATGCACCTGTATGAATGCACGTAAAGTTCATACTAGCTAATTCAGCAAGCATTTATTAAGCAGTTACTGAATGCAGTATATTAGGTTAGGCACTGGGTGCTACAGAAAAATGAGAAGACAAATTTGTTTAACTTCTAGGAGTTTGGAACAAATAACTGGAGTCTGTTGGGTTGGATTCATTGTTTTCAGATCTCTGGAATATGTGCTTATCAAAATTAGTGGTTCAACATGAGCTAACCAGCCTTTCAAGCTCTGGATGAAGTTGTGAAATATGATAGTATGTGCAAAATGGAAACAAGTCCAGTCGAGAGTTAATTAATTCTTTCCTAGTGACCAAGATCATATTTTCAAAACCATCCTCAAAAATTGTACCATGAAAAGTCTCAGCTATATTCATAGAGTTTGAAGTGAAGACAGTTCTATTTACAATAAGTGTAAGGAGGAAACAAATCTTAGTTTCAATTTTATCTTATTTAGTCATGACCCACTTAGATTTTATTTGAATGCAGTATGGGAAAAAGTTATAATGTGTTAATTTAAAAAAAATACAAACAGAAGAGAGAAAGCAGAAATATTTCCCCAAACATCTCCAAAGAGAATGGTCCTTCCCTGTTCATATAGGAGCCCATATTATGTGATCTGGGTTTTGGTGCTCAAATGTTTTGCCGGAACCAAATTCCCAAATGCTGCTGAGAAGCCACTCAGATATTTGAAGTTTCCTTTTAAGACTAATTCCAGAAATTTTCAAGTGTTCTAACAGAATGAAACAAAGAGAAGCAATTAGAAAATACTCATTGTGACCATGAGGTAATAAGATTAGCTTTTCAAGTCTTAGAGAACAGTTGATCTCATTACCATGCAGGGTCTCTCACTTCAATCCATCTTATGTAGATTAGACGTAAAACATCATCACTTGATACAAAAGAAGTCAAGTCATTATCTTCTGTGGTAAGTCCTAAGGTTAAGGTTATGTCTTCATATGCTTACAAAATTGAATTTGCACCAAACATTTTGATTTGACCCCCTAGAACTGTTCCAGTACTAAAGAGATTTTTACTATTCCCATACAGTCTACTCATAGACCTAGTTTTTGTCTAATATCAGATTAGAATCCCAAACTGAAATTCTCACTCTTGGGAAACAGTTCAGTATACACAGAGTAGCAAGTGAGCAGAATTGGAGTTTGGGGCTTCAATCCAAACTTTGTAGACACAGCTTAGATCTGGCACCTCTCAGGGCTTGCAGGTACCCTCTTGATTCACGGGAGTGCCCTTTAGTCAGTTATCGCTGCAGCACAACACTTAGTAAATTACTGTTTCAGTGAGCAAAATGTTATTCTAGTTGGCTTGGAGAGTTCATACACCTTCCCAAAATGGCTGACTTACTTCCCAGGGTGTTGTCACACTGTTAGAATCTAGCTCATTGTTAAATACATGCCCCATACCCTTGTTAGATCAAGTAAGATAAATATGGAAAACTGCTTTCTGAGCATTAAAACACTCATAAACCTCAGGTATTACTGTAGTCTAATATATTTTCACACTTTTGAAGTTAAATCTAAGAAGTTATGACATTCAGTTAGTTGAAAAGCTGCTCTCAGACTGGGTATCAAGATGACTGTTGAGCAACAAAATGAAACCTTGATGCTTCTATTTTATAGTGTTCCTTGACTTGATTATACGTGGGAGCCAGATAGACCAAGTGTATAATAAAAACTGGCAGGAATTATGGCCAAACTAGAGAGCAAAACTAGAGAACACATTCATCCATCTAAAGAGAGTCAAGGTCAGATTTTTGAAAAATGCCAAACCAAACAAAACATATCTGTGAAGCTGTACTGGGCCCACAGATGACTCGTTTGGAACTCCTGATGGAGCAGCATAAGCTAGAATAAGAATGAAAAATGTAGGTTTAGTTTTCAATAGAATTGAAATTGCTTTTATAATTTTAGGATCTCCATGCCTCCTAATACTTTACTGGAGGTCCCATTCAGAGATCTTTTAATTAATCATCAAATAAAACCTTTCCTTGTCCCATGGTGATAAGACTGTTGTATCATACTGCCCTATATCTGGAACATATGCTAAAAGATGGAAAGTGGTTTTGTAAACTAACTTTCCCTGTAGTAATAAAATTTTATTTTAGGAAGTGCTTTACCCATTTGTGTTTTGTAGCTTTTAGCTATGATTTGTGGAATAGGTAATTGAATTTAACCAAATTACTAACTGACTAGTAACTTAAAGCATTATGATTATTTCTAGAAATAGGGGTTCATACAATTTTTTCTCTGAAATATTGACATAGCTATGCTAATGTATAAGTTACCCTGAAAAATTATTCTGTGAAATAAAACTCCAGGCTAGATTACATCAATCACCCCTGTAAATATAGTTAGTTCCATAATATATGGTATTTTCTATAGCACCCATTGTGCTTATAATTACATTTTAATGCCTGACTTCACTGGTAGTCTATAAGTTCCATGAGGGTAGGCTCCAGGTCTGTTCTTTTTGGTCACTGCATCCTTAGTCCTAGAAGAGTGTTTAGTACATGGTAGTATTCAATAAATGCTTATTTTATTACCCAGCTGACTTCAACTGACTTCATGAAAATAGGAAGTGGAAGGGAGTGCTGGGTTTTTTGTTTTTTTGCTTTTTTTAAATTGTGCTTTAGGTGAAAGTTTATGGTCAAGTTAATTTCTCATACAAAAATTTATACACATATTGTTATGTGACACTAGTTGCAATCCCTATGTGACAGCACACTCCCCCTTAGCCTGGAGTTCAGGGAAGGTTTCCTGGAGGAAGTGGCATGTATGGTAAAATATGAAGACAGAAAGCTAAGTAGATATTAACCAGAGAAGGATGAAGGAGATTGAGAGGGAAAAGGGAACACACATTTCTGAGGTACAAGAAGAGGCTGTGATGTAGTCAGGAATGAGAGAAGCCCAGTATTTCTGGAGCAGAAAAGAGAGGACAGAGAGGTAATTGTAATAAATGCAATATGTCCCTTATTCTTTTAGACTTGAAACTTAGAACTGTTTTTGAATTGTCACTTCCCTTCATTTCTCACATCCCCACCCTTACCATGTCTTCAACATCCAGCCCTTCATTTCCATCTAGCCTAATATCGCTCTAACTTAAGCCCTTCATTTTTCACCTGTAGATTACCTTCATAACCTCCTAGCTATTCTTTCTACATCTAGTCTCTCTCTGCTCAAATCCATTCTAACTGCCACTAGATGAATTTTCTTAAAATGTTTATTTTATCATGTCATTTCTATACCCCCCAAAACTCCTATGGCTTTCCACCCTGGTGTTCAAGTCCTTCCACATTGTGACTAAATGATACCTACCTATCCTATCTCCTGGTTCTTCTCCACAAAAAACTATCTATTTCACAAGGCTGTTCTCTTTGATATTACTTCAAAAAATATTTATTGAGCATCAATTATGTACTCAGCACAGTTTTAGAACCTGGAATACAGGGTTCCAGATCATAGGTAAGAACCCAACTCTCATGGAACTTAAATTCTAATGGGAGAAGACAAATAATAGATGAATGAATGAACAAATGAGAAAACTCACAGATGGTGAAGTGGTAGGTGATATGTAGAGCATCAGAGTGACATCCTAGAGATTAACTGGGTGGCAACACTAGATTAAAAAATCAGGAAAATCCTCTTAGTGGAGGTGACATTTAAGATGAGGTATGAATGACAAGAAGCAGCCAACCATGGGACCATCAGCAGAAGAACATCTCAGGCAATGGATTGTGGGGACAAGTGTGGAAACAGGCTGACCGGTAAAGAGTATTACAGTAGTCTGAGAAAAAGGCGTTGGTGGTTTGGGGAAGATTTGTGGTAGTGGAGACAGAGAAAAGCATATGCATTTGGGCTATGTTTTGGGGGAGCATCTATGGGAATAGACGTGAAAGGTGAGAGAAGAAGAGTAATAAGAAAATGCCTAGATATTTGCCTTGCCTTGGTGTCTTAGTCATCTAGTGCTGCTCCAACAGAAGTACCAGGAGTGGATGGTTTTAACAAAGAGAAATTTATTCTCTCACAGTCCAGTAGGCTACAAGTCCAAATTCAGGGCATCAGATCCAGGAGAAGGCTTTTTCTCTCTCTTGGCTCTGGAAAAGGTCCTTGTGATGCATCAGTCTTCCCTTGGTCTGGGAGCATCTCATTGCAGGAACCTCAGGTCCAAAGGATGCGCTCTGCTCCCGGCACTGCTTTCTTGATGGTATGAGGTTCCCATGTGTCTCTGCTCGCCTCTCTCCTTTATATCTCGAAAGAGATTGGATTGACACCATCCAATCCTATAAACTTCATCAGCATAACCTCATCACAGTGATAGAATTTACAACACATAAGGAGATCACATATAACCTCATCATAGTGATAGAGTCCACAACACACAAGGAAGTCACACCAGATCACACAATCACACAATACCGGGAATCATGACCCAGCCAAGCCGCTACACACATTTTTTGGGGGACACAATTCAATCCATGACACTCCACCCCCTGGCTCCCAAAAATCACATCCTTGCAACATGCAAAACATATTCATCTCATCATATCACAGCAAAAGTCTTAACTCCAAGTCCAAAATCCAAAAATTCCTCTTCATCTGTGAAATCTAGAATACAAGTTATCCGCTTCCAAAGGTACAACAGCAGAACAGGCACAAGCTAGACATTTCCATTACAAATGGGAGAAATTGCAGGGAAAGAAGGAATAACAGGCACCAAGCAGGTTAGCAGAACACATTACATTAACCCTCAAGGCTTGAAAACAATCCTCTGTTCTCTGAGACAATTTACACAATAGCCCTGCCCTCCTCTAGGCATTGGCCACCGTCTCTGGATTCTGAGTGGAGGCCCCTCGGCCCTGGGCTTCAGCTCCACCTTCCAGGCCCACTGGGACGGCAACTCTACTCCCTCAGCTTTAGGTGCACCATTCTCCCAGTGCATCGGAGTGACAACTCCACCCTTAGGAACACTAGGGGCCATGGCTCCACCCTTTGAAACCCAGAGGTCTTGGCCATACTTTCTGAGGCTGAGGCAGCTTGGCTTCTTGTGTTCCTTGTCTCTTGAGCTTCTGCTTCCTGTGGCCTCTTGGCCCTCAGGCCTCATGCCCGCATCTGCCCTGCTGGGGCAAGTGTTCCAAAACTTGGTAGCTCCACCAATAAGTGCCCAGAGGCACCCTACTCTGCCAGGAAGCCTCCAGCGCACAGGCAGTCAGCTCTCTTGCTCTGTGGGTCGGCTCCAGCGCTGTCTGGCGCTGGTCTCCTGGTTCTGCTTCTGCCGGTTCTCTTCCACTTCTGCTTCTCTGCTGCTGCAGGTTCTCTGCTGCTGCCGCTCCTCTATCCATTCACAGTTTCAAAACTGCTTCCACATTCTAGGCATCTGCCAGAGCAGCACCCCACCCTCAGCACCAAACCCTGCCCTAGTCATCCAGTGCCACTCCAACAAAAACACCACAAGTGCATGGGTTCACAAAGAGAAGTCTATTCTCTCACAGTCCAGTAGGCTTGGGTAAAGTGATTAAATTTTAAGGCAACGCTGGGTACTATTATCAGTGCCTTTTCTTGACGTAGCCCTTGCCATTATTTTCTAAAGAATATCCATGGTTATCTACAGACTACTCCACTCCTTTCATGGAACTAAATTGAGGCCAGTGGGTCAGTAGTCAATGGCCTCATTTCTTGTACCAAGAAAGAATGGAAAGTCCTACCTGATCCAGCATCCAGGGGAGGAGATGCCAGCATTAGGCCATGCTAAGATACAATAGTCCCCTTAGCCAAATCCCTCATGGAAGGCCAGATGGCCTCCTCTCTCCTTTGTGCTGGGGCCTTCTGGGTACTTAGGGCTTCTCTGTGTTTCCTGGCATAATGACACAATGGGGTGAGGAAGGAGGGAGCCATGAACTTGACAGCTGATTGAGACCATCTGCCTGATTTGGATTTGTCAGCTCAGTCCTCTGCTCCTTTTGAACATGCCACTTTGTATTTATGACTTAGAGTCTTTTGCTGTTCCCACCAACTGGCATATACTTCCAACATTTCTTCAACTGTACTTGTCTTTCATCAGGTCCTGCCTCTTCTACAGGTACTTTCCTACCACTCCAGCCCAAATGGATCTACCCATTCATTGAACTCCTGTAGTGTTTACCATGAGAGGTATCCATATTAGCACTCAGTTATATACAGTCCTGCCTGGTGTGCATACAGCATCAGACATAAGCATGTAAATTCCAATTTGTAAGCTGTGAGGGGACAAGACTACATCTTATTTTTCCATCAAATCACCCTCAACACACTAACATGTCTGGCAATAAATGGCAAATATTTGTTGCCATCGTAGATATAAAATAAATCTTCATATTTGTGTGTTTTAATTAAAGAGGTTAAAGAGAATGAATATTGGGAAAGTAAAATTCAGTGATACTGAAAAATATTCTAAATGTAGAAACTCTCTGCTACTCTTCTAACTGGCTTTTGAGTTGTTAGGTACTGTCAAGTCCGTTTCAGGTCATAGCAACCCTATGTACAGCAGAACAAAACACTGCCCAGTCCTGCACCATCCTCACAATCATTGCTATACTTGAGCCCCTTGTTGCAGCCACTGTGTCAATCCATTTCATTGAGGATCTCCCTCTTTTTCACGGACCTTCTACTTTACCAAGCATAATGTCCTCCTACAGGGACCGGTCCCTCCTGATAACATGTCCAAAGTACATGAGACCAAGTCTTGCCATCCTTGCTTCTAAGGAGCATACTGGCTGTACTTCTTCCAAGACAGATTTGTTTGTTCTTCTGGCAGTCCATGGTATAATCAGTATTCTTCACCAATACCGTAATTCAAAGGCATCAATTCTTCTTCGGTCTTCCTTACTCATTGTCCAGTTTTTGCATGCATATGAGGCGACTGAAAGTGTCACGGCTTGGGTCAGGCACACCTTACTCCTCAAAGTGACATCTTTGCTTTTGAACGCTTTAAAGAAATCTTTTGCAGCAGATTTGCCCACTGCAATATGTCATTTGATTTTTTAACTGCTGCTTCCATGGGCATTGATTGTGGATTCAAGTAAAATGAAATCCTTGACAATTTCAATATTTCTCCGTTTATCATGAGAGTACCTTAATTTATA